TCAGCATCCACCGCTCTGTAGCACTTGCTGCCATCTGTGTGCACCAGAACATTGGAGCCGAGAAGTGCTTGGTCTTGCTTAGAAGAGAGAGGCCCCTTTTGAAAGTTGTCCCAATCCTTGGTCGTATACTGCGACGGAAACAATCCCCCCCCCCCCGGAAACCCCCGCCAAGAAAACCCTGATCTTGGTGGTGCCGCGTGCCTTTCTCTACAAGAATCTCATGCCTTTGCCGTATCGGTCCTCAGTTGCTCCCAGCACAGCCCCATAAACCGCAGGCTAATTGGTGAGACCACTGAATTCGATGACCAAACTCAGCCGCCCAACTACAGTAAAATCAATTACTCAATTGCCGCAACTTTAGTCAAATTGTACAAATCGTACTAAGTCTGTACTCTGTGAACTGACTCAATTCGTCTAACTCCGCGCTGCCGTGCAACTGCTTCGAGACCTAGATCCATTGGCATCGTCCTGCCTGGCGCTGCGCCTGCAAAGCGCGCTCGCGCGCGCCGAGGGTGTCCTGGCAGCAGGGCTGTAGGGTTGCTCGGAAAACCCAAGCTCATGGGCAGTTTGGTACAGGGCGACAAAGATCTAGGGGGAACTTCCCCGTTCTTTCCAGGAATCCTTCTTTCTAGAAAAAATCTGGAGAACTGGCTGGTTTTTGAAAAGAACGATGGCTGAAAAGACTGGGGAATCAACCCCTGGAAAGGAGAACGACAGGAACCTCATGCAACAAAAAAGCAAAGGAACCAAATGGCAGGTAGATTTGGGGTCCCTGGTGAAGGGCAACCAAAGAAACCTCAGGAACAACAGTCTCGGTAGAAATCGAGTCGCTGGAAAAGGCAACCAAAGAAGCCAAAGGGCTGCTAGACATTTGGTCCACGGTTTAAAGGAAACTGAAGGATTACCAACAAAATGAGTTTGGTCATCTTTTGAAGCTTTGAAGCAGCCCTGGCCCTGTTCCATGAGGTCTTCCCGCTCTCGCCAGAGTCAACCCTTCCCCCTCTGTCTGTTGTCACGACTCGTGGCAAGGCCAGAACAAAAGTGGAGAACCGATTGACGAATAGCAGGCGTGAACTCCGTGCTGGAAATCTCCTGGATGCAACCTAACCCCTGCTCATCAACCTGTCTAGGATACCACCACTTAGTTCCGAAAAAGAACAACTTACAGCTCTGGGCCAAGCCTCAGAATTTCTTCGCCTGAAAGCCATAAAACAGCGGGCTGGAAAACAGATATCAGATATCATTCACCATGTCAAAACAATAAATTAAACAAACAAACAAACAAACAAACAAACAAACAAACAAACAAACAAACAAACAAACAAACAAACAAAACAAACAACCCAAACAAACAAGCAAACAGACAAACAGACAAACAGACAGGCAGACAAACAGACCAACAGACCAACAGACCAAGAGACAAAGAGACCAACAGACAAGCAGGCAAGCAGGCAAGCAGGCAAACAGACAAGCAAACAAGCAGACAAGCAGACAAAGAAACAAAGAAACAAACAGACCAACAGACCAACAGACCAACAGACCAACAGACCAACAGACCAACATACCAACAGACCAACAGACAAACAAACACACAAACAAACAACCAAACAACCAAACCAAACAAACAAACACAACAAACAAACAAAACAAACAAGCAAACAAGCAAGCAAGCAAGCAAGCAAGCAAGCAAACAAACCATCAAACCAGCCAACCAACAAACCAAAAAAACAAACAAACCAAAGACCCAACAAACCAACAAACCAACCAACAAACAAACAGACAAACAAACGAACAAACCAACAAACCAACAAACCAACAAAACCAACCAACCAACCAACCAACCAACCAACCAACAAACAAATCAACCAACCAACCAACCAACCAACAAACAAAAAAACAAACAAACAGACAATCAAAACATAACAACACAAACAACACAAACATACACACACACACACACAAGGGCAATGTTTGGTTTAAAGAACCCTACAGCCGCTTACAGCCCATTCTGTAATTGTGTTCGGCCCTTATCGCAGGTTGGCTTTGTCGTTAACCCAATTTTCACCCCGTCCTGGATCTCCTGCAGCAATCGCAGGTCGTCGATCGGCGCGGGGCCTCACGCGGCCGGCGCAGGAGAATCGATCCTCTGAAAAACTGGGTGGTTGGCCCAAGGAGAGTACTCGAAGACCGGATGACTTTTAGGTTCCATCTTAATCTGTACGGCAGTATGGGTGGCTCATGGGTGGCTCTTGAGTTGGGAGAGACTATATAGAACTATATAGTCAGTGGGGATAGAGTTTGCGAGGGAAAGGGATGATTGTTGATCTACCTATCCCTGCCCTAACGTAGACTTCATCTGGTCATGCTCTGACCCCGTAGTTTTCTGTTGAAAGGGTCTTGAATCAGTTGGGTTTTGACCTTGTGCATGACGTATATGCATCGGATGGTGCTTTTAAACACCAGCCAAAGGCCAACAGGGATGCTAAATCTCAGCAGACGCCCTGACTGCAAGCTGCTTCTCAATTGACATCCGCAGAATCGTGGGAACCCGCCACACCCTATACACATCGCCGCACAGTGGTTATTCAAGCTCGTGTCAAAAGTTTGGCTTTGCTGCGTTCGATAAACACACAAGCAACTTGCTAAGCTCCAAATGAAGTGAGCAGCGCCTACAACCTGTTGACTTTTGTCTTTGTTTTCCTTACATGGTTGTAAAAGGTTTGTACAGGCTTTGCTATAACCCAATTTAGCTGGTAGTAGAAACACATACTACATACTGAAATGGCTCGAGGGGGGGGGTCGTGCGCTTGTCAAGTAAAGAGGACGTGCGGTGAGCTCTCGCAATTTTCAGGCGCATCCTTGGTGGCCTAAAGGCACAACTTCCAGACCTTCGGCACGGGCACAACTCGCAAGGCCCCTGCGGGAGAGTCAATATTGACCGGGGATGCAATTTGAAAACTACTTTTGCTCCAGCAGCACCCCACTTGGGGTATGAAGTGTCATGCAAGCTTTAGTGCAGACACTACCACGTGCACAGGCCCCCCGTCGGCCAAAGTTTCGCATGGTTGCAATCCTCAAGCCAGTCTACAACTGCGTGAGCCCTGCCCCCCACCTTCAGCCACAGGCTCGACCTCTGCGAGTGCCGTGTCACAGAGATGACAGAGAGGTGTTTGCGTTTCAGGGTTGACCAGCAAAAGGCGGTCTCCCAAATCTGGTCAATGGGTGTCGCTACTCTCAAGCCCATGAAAGTGACATCATTGGACTTTGGGGGCCTGTTGTTGCAAGCTCCCCGGCGGAAACTGGGACTACAAAGTCATATCACTCATCTAACCCACATATCGCAGACGCAGCGCAAACAGAATGCAGATATCACGAGAGCCGTCTCCCTATGTGAATGGGAACGACTCTCAACAAGCCAGGGTTTGAGCTTCGGAAAACGTCAAACAGCAGCAACTGCGAAACCATAGCCGAAAGCTTCCCGGTACCAAGTGGCAGGCAAGCCGGCTACTTGAAGCAACTGGGCATTTGGCTGGAAGAGCCGCTCTTGGATAACATTCAATGCCAAAGCCATAGACCCCCTTCCTTTGCGTGCACGGCTCTGCCCCTGTGCCCTTGTCGCATGCGTATCACGCTCTCATCCCATGCCAACGGCCACACCAACTACAATGAGGCGTGTAGGGGAAGTGGCCGGGTCCCAGCCTGGCCACTAAGTCCAACAGACAGCTAGTGATCTAGTCGAAGTATGCAGTCAATGGGCTACCACAAAACCACACAAACCACCCCAAGATTCAAAATGCAGTGCTCAGACAGATGGTTGCGTGCCCATCAAAAGGTGGCTTTGCCCTTACAACCTCACCACACTAGCAGTCTTTGTCCAACCTAGCGGACTTGCACGTGCAACTGTAATAAGTCACAACCACGTCCAACCATGGCAATACTTTTGATGGACGAAATCCTGCACCAGCTGAGACGGATGACACCCCACGAATACTGGACAAACCACCTACCAACTGGTGCAGGACTTTGTCTATCTTCAGTAGGTCGCAGTTGCCCAGTGACCTGGTAAATAATGGAACTCATTTTGGGAGTGCGCATTATCAGTGGGGATGCCACCAAACAAAAAGAGACAAAGGGTGACACTGGACAACTGGAAGGTGAAGCAACGCCTTTTACCCAGTGGAAGGTTGCGTTGGCTTCCTGTTTCCCTTTCATCCGGGGCCAAATGTCCTGCCAGGGCCTGGAAAGAGCAACCCTGCGAATTGACCTATCCAACATTTGGATGGTCACACTACTCGCAAGCAGGGTTCAACCAAGGTTACGCCACCTTGGGGTTTCTTCACGGGCTTTGAAGCAACCCTTCGCTTTGGGCAAGTGAGGTCAATGTGTCTCAACATAGAAGTCCCCTTTCGGATTAATTAAGAGGAAACTGAAGGAAACCAACCATGTGAAGAGGTCCCTTTGAGAAATACCGCAATATGCGTCCGCACCTCTCGCAAACACTCTCTCGGGCTGCGGCAGGCGTAGCGGCACTCTTGGAAGATCGCCGCTCCTGGCGTTCCTGCTCCAGCTGCCGCCTGAGGGTAGCTCAGATGGGGGGGGGGCATATTTGAAACGGTGACATTTGCGGCTTTACAGGGGCTCCAGAACAAGTCCCATCGATGTGTTGCATTTGTTGGTTCGTTTGGCTGCGCGTCACAACATGAGCTCATAACGCAGTTGCATATTTATCGCAAAATCATATTCGCGCGGTTGCTTCAATTCTAGCCACTAGGAAATAAGCCAAAGGAGTATCTCAAGAGCCCCGGATTTTGCCCTGAACCGTGGAGTCTCCCAAGACTCCGGGAACCTGCCGCCCCAACCCCAGGATTGTCCAAGACCCCTTGAATGGACGTCCCTAGAAAGAAGTCCAGATGGGTTTCCCCAACACCTCTTGGTTCCCTTTAAAGCCACCCAGAAGGGTACCCCCCCAAAACAACAGGCACCCGCAACCACACCTGGGAGACCCCAACAACAACCTCCAGACACGGCAACGCCAGTGCGCACAACATGAGGGCATGTGTTTCTTGAGGCGACGATCAGTTGGGCTGTTCTTTTTCAGGGACACCAAAAGGACACCACTCCTTTTGGTGGGTACCCCTATTTCACTCATACCCCCAATTTGGGGGGGTACCCCCGCTCGCATGTGGACTCATACCCCACAGCCGCACGAAGCCCCGCGCCTCACGGCCTCGGACTGCCTCAGCTCCTCCTGGGTCCAGACGCCCAAAAGCCCGGGCTTCGCCCAGCAACTTTTCAGCCAAAGGGGTCTGGTTCAACACCCCTGGGAGCTGAACGAAGTTGCATCTTGGGCTTGGAATTTCAGCCACTGAGTGAAACTCACAAATCAGCCAAATTGCAGTACTGCTTTGAAAGCTTGGTACGACGCAAACAGCATTCATGGGGAACTGGCCAGGCTTCCCAAACAAGTTGCCTTAGAAAACCAAAATAACCCTCATGTTAAACATATCACCACTCTCCACATGCCTTTGGTTGACGTGCAGGACGGGGTAAAATTGTCCGAGTCCCCTTGTTGTGGCAAATTTACTGCTCGTCCCCCATGTCTCCGCCCAGACTAATGGATATGTTGCTTGATCCTTTTGTGGACCTAGCTAAGAAAACAAAAAACAAGCCTTTCTTGGGATGCGCTCTCGGGGCATGGAAAATGAGCCTGTCGAGGAGTCTTCTGTTTCAAGGGTAAGGAACATTCCTTTGTGGGGTTAGGAGGGCATGTGGTGGAAAATCCCCACCTGGCGCTAAGTGTTCACCTCAAAAAGGGGGCGGGATCCCTTGCGGCACTTGCCTCCAGATGCTTCAGGCGAAGCACCACCTCCTGGGGGGTCTGGCGCTTCGCCTGCCACGGCTTCAGGTGTTCAAGGCGAATCCCCAAGGGCCATATCTGACGTACCAAAGGTACCAAAGGGAACAAAGGCGACACTTTACCCAAGAGCGCCATACCCAAAGGCCATACTTGACTTGAAGCATTGAAGCAACGATTCCCACAAAGCCCGCCCTCCTTCAAGAAGAACTCAGATTGATTCAGAATTGAACGGAACCGTGCGTGTCAAAGCTATATCGATGCCTCAACCCCTGAAAGCTGAATGGTTGTTTTATGTGAGACCGCCTGGATGCCTGTCGTTTGTGCTATGGAGGTTGCACCAGTCGGCGAAGAGTTGACCCTGTGCAACGTTTTTTGCTTCTTTAATGGACCACACACTTGCCATTTCGGGGGACGCAACTCGGGCCAAGCTAGGAGCTGCTAAAAGGTCGATTCGCACAACCTAGTCCAACAGCAAATGTAGCTGGCTGGATTCCCAGTCACAGGGAGTGGCCTGTTGTAAGTTTATAAGAGGAAAACTACCTGCGCTACCTTGGCACCTGCGTATGGAATCCAGAAACTTGCCAGCCCTGCGCAGTCCAAACCAGAGCTGGGCCTGAGTCACATCCTTTTGCACTCTTCGTGCTGTCTTGGCTGAGTCTGTCTGCATGTGAGCCTGTGCTTCTGCATGTCCCTGCATTGTTGCTGACTGGGGACGAGAGAGGTCCAGGTCAAGCATTCGGTTCCGGTTTCATGACCAAACTGAAGAAATCTTTGCGCAAGGGTTTCAGCTTCAGCGTGACTTCTCCAAGAAGTAGCGCTGCGATTTGCAAGCGAACACTCATATCGAGACCCCAAGCAGTTGGTCACTTGATTGGGCTCAAAGGATGATGTCGAACCGGACTCGGAGCGCAATGGCACAAATAATCAGAAGCACGAATTGACTTTGGCTGCTGCGCCCCAGTCTTGTCTCGGAAAGTGAGCAGAAACCGAACATGAGCGGACATTGACGGAATTTCAGCAAACGTTGGTGGGAAACGTGGGTGGAAGGCCTAAACAGTCTTTGCTCATTGAGCATGCTTGACTAAAATGTGCATGCTAGTCTAGAATGAGCACTTGTGTCGTCGATCTGGACAAATGTGCCAGCGGATGCCCTAGGTGATCATGCGACTGTTCATCTGGATTGCAATGGGAAGGGAAACAAACATCGTACAACCAACGCCGACCTCGTGTAGTTGGATATGTTGGATCAATGCAGCTGAGCAAGGAGTACCTAAAATGCATGAGCTTAGCAAAATGGTTATACAGCGTTGTAACAGGATGTTACACTCACACACACACACGCCCATTCGTGGGAGGGTCACTCTCTTGAAGTCAAAGTTATGCACTTCTCATTGTTTGCTCTGCTTTACATGGTTCAGCTTTGGTTCCTAGGATCCACCCACCCTCCCCCAACTCCTCCCCAGTTTCCTCCAGATCAGGCTTTAGCAAGGCCTTGTTGAGGTCTTGCTTTGGAAAACAGGGAAGGGGGGGATAGCGGAGGGTGGAGGGAAGGTCGATCCTATGATTTGTTGTTCCTGTCACGCAGCTAGACAAGAACACCTTCTGCTCAAAATCCAGCTCACGCTCCTCTTGTGTTGTTCTTGGCGGGCATCCCGCTGTCCTGGTTTGGCCCAAACACCTGGTTTCAAGGAGCCATATTCCATGGTGTCATATTGTAAGCAAGTCTTGGAGAAAAGGCAGATCCAAGGGTTGCTTTATCATTTTATTCATCCATGGTTGATCAACACCATCAAGGCTTCATAACTTGCCGCTTTCTGAAAGCGAGTCAAGAGTCAAGCGCCCAGCAACCTTTAACAACGTCTCAAGATGATAGAGGCGACAGATAGGCGTGGGAGCAAGAAGAACTCCGATGTGGCACAATGCTCATAGCTCCCAGGCCAATTGCCCCTACCCAAGCACGGGATTTCAAGACGACGGAAGTTCTGGGAGAGGACCCTATCCCGAGTGTTTTTGTAGCAAATGCCCCAACCAAGCCCGAACTAACGTTTTTGACCAGTCCTGAGCCAGTTGTCCTACCTGTGAGCCGCTTTAGGCATGGGATTGGGAGACAGGGATGCGCCCGGTTCCTTCAGGGTGCAAATCCAAAAGTCCCAGAATTCACCTTTTCCTTTGGAACGGTGACGTAAGCGAATACTCTCCTAAAACGAACCCTGTGACAACTGAAATGTGTTTTTGAGGGCACCCCGAGACCCCCTTTTCATTGCTTTTTGTTTTTAAGGGACACCAAACAGAAAACCAATTAGCCACTCACAAAAAACACCAAAAAGAAATCGAGCAACAGAACCCCCCCCCAAAAAGGAAACACCCAAAAAGAAAACCACCCCATTTTTGGGTCCCCCCCGAACAAAAATGACACCCCCATCTGGTTTCTTGGGTGTCCATGCCTCATTCAGCTCCTCCCGCAGCTTCCGGAGCTCACGTTGCAGCTCCTAGGCTGCCAAGGCCCTCTGGGGCCCCGTGTTTTGGGAGAGGTCAAGAGGTCTTGAAGCCAAGAAAACTGCAACATGGTGAACCACAGGTCTGAACGTAACTTGGTCAACCGAGAGTGAACTTAGAACCAGTGATACAGGGTCAGTCAAGTGAACATATCAAAAAAGGCTGCGCAAAAGGAATAGCACGGTCTCGTCGTCCGAATGGCTCAAATGTTGCACTGTTAGAGCCATGGCTTTAGCCACGACAGAGACATGGAAGTAGAAAACTGAAACCAGGTGGTTTGCCCTTGTGTTCCCCTTCCTCAACTTCCTACCCTAATGACGGATTGACGCAAGTTCACTTTCTGTACCTTTGAACCCGGCCAAAGGGGATGGCTCAACCCCCGTGCGCAACAAGCTTCACTGTTGCTGCAGTGAAAGTCGAAAGATCCAACAACATAGCAGCCAAAATCGATTCTGGCTTGCTGGTGACGAAAAATTCGGAAGCGCTCAGCCATTTCCCATCGTTCCACTGTCCCATGGGAAGCAAGCACGTGAACCATTGGATACTCCCCCCTTGGATGCAAAGCAACTGCCAACACACCACTCAACTAGGATACAACTTTAGTGTTCCGTGCTTCGCTTTTTCGTACCGATGAAACCATACCCTGCTTTCCCTGCATGTTGTGGACATGCTCTTCCCTTGCCGGCCCCTCAAGTCCGGACATATATAAGGAAAATAAACGGCCCACAGCCTTCTAAGTGGCTCTGCAAAGCTGCGTCTAAATCTGGTGCTGTCTGAAGAGGAGGAATCGCGGAACATACATTCAAAACCCCGTGCCCCACATAGGGCTTGGATTGCATCATTCGGCAATGAATACTTGCGTTTTAGATGGTTTTCAATGGACCTTAAATGGAATTCCAGGAGTGTGAATTGTGAAAGGAAGCTCATATCCCTCACCCATCCTTCGGGTGATGGGGATGATCTGCTGACCACCCCCAATCCAGGGCTCCTTTTGGCTTCCCCACTTGACATTCAGGGTCGTTCACTGGGGCACACATCAACCATCCCCCCGTGTTACTGGGTCTCTTTGAGGCTAGCCATCGAACGGGCCCCCCTGGCCCCCCGGGCGTGCCTCCATCAGCCGCAAATCCTCCTGCCGCGTCTGCTGCAGCTGCTCCAACTCTCGGCAGGCCTGCGCCTCATAAAATGCCCTGGGAAATTCACACCCGGACAGGCGGACAAAACACATCCTTTGCCAACCTTGGCAAAGACTGACATGGGTCTCTTTTTTTTGTGGATGCCCTTTTCAGTTGGTCTTAAAGGGAAACCAGTAGCAGCTCTTGAAGGGACTTTCATGGCGGAGCGCTTGAAGAGTTAGTTTCTGAAACACGTGGGCATGTCTGAGTTCTAATTGGGGACCCCTTCAACAACACCAAACATATGGCCAATCTAAAGGTACCTCGAATGTGATGTGCTCCCGCAATTCGACGCTAAGTAGTTTACCAACTGCTTGGTTACGACTGAGATTGACTTCACCGTTTAAAGTCCAGGAACTCGGGAAGTGAGACTCATCTCCAATACTTGCATGAGCGTGTCTACATTGAGGTGAAACCATCTCAAAATGGAAACAGGTACCTCCTGAAACTAGGGCACCTCACGAATGGTCGGTGCTGTTGGATTCCTTTAAACCATCCCAAAACAGCGTCCTTCGTTCTTATATTTGACTCATGTGATTTCGTTTTGCACCCGGCAAAGCACCAAAGCACCACGTTGCCTTGGAGTTCAAGGCCGCGCGCAGGTCCTACGGAATTCGGAGCCGACCAGGAACTCAAATGGGGGTGAATTTTAATTGGGGACACTTTGGCAGACTTCATTTAGGTGGGGATTTATGTCCACCAGGCATTTGGGAGGGCACTTCTCCTTACGATTCATGGCCTTAATCGGTATGTGTCAAAATGAGGAACCCAGGCGGTTGGTCTCCTTTTAGTTTCCGCATGTGAGAACCCCCTGCTGGGTATGTGACACGGTATGTGTCAAAACCGCGATGTCCACCCCCAAAACGGGGGGGGGGGGGGCGTTCCTGTTGGCATCCCTTTAAACTACCAGAAAAGGGACCTGAAAATGCTGCGCGTTTGGGTTATTGTTGGTTAACTGTTGTGAATCGTGTGAAATGTTCCATAAAATATCATGACACTTTCATGTATGTTGGATAATGTCGATTGTATTTGGTGTAGATTTGGTAGGTGTTTGATGAATTCAAATTTGACGAGCCGTGTGATATGGTTGATGAATTGGTGCTCTCTACCCAAAGTAAATAATGGATCTTGTAAAACACACACGTATCCACTCCAATCCAGACAATATGTTCTTTTAGCACCTCAGTTACCAGTGCTAATGACCTTACACATTCTTCATGCTTGTCTCCTATGATATAGCTATCATCTAAACATCTGCATGTTTCGGGTTGGATTCAAGGGACACCAAAAAGAAACCACATCCTTTTTGGAGGCCCCCCTGTTTCTGACACAAACGCCAAGACGGTATGGACAATCTTTGCTCTCAGCCCGTGTTTTGTTGGACATGTGGGGGTGGCCTCCCTTCTCGTCCTCCCCACGTCACAGCAGACTACCAACATGTGTGATTCACTGAAACCACACTGAAGCCACAGGCTATGAGATCTGACCCTCTTTAAGTTGGTGGATCTTGACTTTGAACCAAATCCGATAAAAAAGAAAACAAAAAGGAGAGTGGAACCAACCAAAACGAACTCACCTATCATGCGGAACACTGAAAAGCGATCACCATTGAAGCCGCTATTTCTCCGGATCAGTCGACTTCTGTGTTCTCCCAAGGCGAACTGGATCCCTTCTTAAATGAGATATATCACGTTATGAATCAAGTTGGGGTTTATCATTCCTGGATTTCCTTTGGATGCGCTGTGCGTTCACTGTGCGCCTGGGCTTGAACCCCGAACCCCAAACTGGAAGATCCAAACTTCGGAGCCCCGTCTGTGTCTCATTTTGACCCCCTTTCAGGGTACCACCAATTTTGAGGTTCCGGTTGAGCCGCAAAAACACCCTCCCCTCGTGTGAATCAAGGAATTGTCACACACGGGAGCGTAACTGATCAATTCATCGGGACTATCCCTTGAATGACTTGCCGCACAGCAACAACTAACATATGGGCTTCAAGGTTTGTCGCATGAGGCCACCGTCAAAGTTGGTTCTCTTTTGGCTTCCCTCCAAAGCAATCCCAAGCAGGGTACCGGCAAGCCTCGTACAAGAGCCTGACGGAAAGATTGCATTTGAACCCGGGCAAAACAAACTCAGTTGCCCAAAGGACATGGAAGTAAGAGGTTCACCTTTTGGGGCCATGACAAACTGGGCCAACAAGGGGAAGCCAAAAGGTCAAAAGGTCGATTCGCTTTGGACAAGTGAGCAAACATTGAGTTCATATGGGCTGGCGTGCGGAGGCCCCTTCAACTCAGGGTGAATCCCAACACACAAAGGAGAACATGTTGTCCACCATGGGCCTTGAGTGGCTCAACTAACAAAACCACTTCTCGCCCCTGGGCCACTTAAATGGTGCTGAATACGGTTGGCCCGTTCTTGTTCAAATATGACTGCATAATTAAACCAAAACCAATGTTTCAACACCCGCTGGTTTCTCACTTCCCTGTCAAAAACCAGATTGTTGATGGTTTCCTTCAAAAGAAAACAGGTTGCTGTTTGTTGTCCTTTCAAGGGAACCAGCTCTTGGCATTTCCTTCCACTTGGCCCACATTTGCTGGGGCAGAACATCGTGAATATGCATATATACATATATACACATATACTTATATACTTGTATACATATATACTTATATGCATATACATGTATTATACATATATATGTATATATATATATATATCATGTATATATAATATATGTTCAGACATGTGTTTCATATTCAACCCCCCCAACAAATATAGAAGAGTGGCGGAGCCCCTCAAAGGACCCCAACGTCAGCTTTCCCTTTGCCTTGTCCAAGACCTCGCTCTGCTGCTGCCAGGCCTTGGCCTGAAGTCACCCGCTCACCCGAAAAGTGGTGGGTGACATGAACAAGTCCAAAGAGACATGGCCATGGGGCATACCCTATGGCTCCATTTTGGGGTGGATGAACATCCATTTGCCACCTATTTTGATGTTCACCGGGGGTACGGGGTTTTGACCCACAGCCACATGATATCCCAGATTGGGGGTACCATAAAAAAAGGGGGGCCAAACTCCAAACTCCAAACTCCAAAATCAAGAGGGCCGCAGTTTCAGCAGATGATTGTTTCCTGCAACACGCGAAAGGGCAACCATCTGCTGGATGCTTCCTTTCAGGGTAAATTGCACATCTTGCGTGGGTGGAGTCCTCTCCGTCGGATGCATGGTTCCTTCTTTGACGAAAACCACAAACACCGAGGAGACGGCTGGTCTTTCACCAGTAAGCTCATTCGGACTGATACCTCGCAACGCTTACACTGCTCAACGATCCCTGCATTCTGCCACTTACCTGCCAACGCAAAAGCAATAGCTTTCGACAGAGTGAACCTCAATTCAGCTTGGCCGAGGCGCACCTGGGCCCTGGAACTGAAAAATCCAAGATGCTTCCAAAAACGTGGAGTGTGCGAAACGATTGGACTTGTGTTGCTCAATGTCCAAACCTCCTGTCGCCATGCGACAAAAAATGCCTTCTGTGGTTGTTGGTTTTCATTTGGCAACCCCCTCCTGCAAAATAAGCCCAGGCGCTATCCCAAACAGCTCCGGAACTTGTTTGAATCCTCTGGAATCCTCTGCTCCGAACAAGCTGATATACGCCTATCGACCCCCAACGCTTGCAGAGGGAAAAGAACAACACCGGAGGTCCGGGCGCTCTCGAGATCGCGCGGGCTCGCCCCCCCCCCCCCCCGCCTCGCCCTCACTGGCGCGCTGGGCCCGCTCTGCGTCGCCGAGGCGCGCTGAGAGGTTGGCGTGGGCCGCCTGCGCGGCCCAAAACCCCGTTTTAGCTCTTCCAAAAGACATGTGTGGTGGAAGTGTGCAGGTGCTTAGAGGCTTAGCCATGGGCACTATTTTCCCCACATGCCCATGTGTCGGACTGTTGGCCAACTTGCTTCCCATGTGTGGCTGCGTGCTCAAGAGAAACCATGTCAAATCAGGCACGAAGCACCCAAGGCCGGGAATCTGACAAAATGGATTCAAGAGACTCGTGTCAGGGTTCTCACTTCCTGAGACACCAACTCAAACGATTCGGTTGGACAACTGTTCGCATTCAATGGGCACCTCTCATGCACCAGTATGGAACTGGACTGGGGGTCCTCAAGGCTGTTTGCCTTTGAGAGGGCGCCGAATTGATGACAATTCCGGTCATTTAGAGCTCGGATTAGCAGTGGTTCGCTTTTTTCTTGAGGGGGGCGGAGTGTTCTAAGCGACCCCCTCTCGGCTCGCCTTACCTGGCCTAGTATATATCCTTCCACCAACGTTAGCACAGAGCCCACTCGGGAAGACCACATGTCTTGCAAAAGCTGAATGGCCCAATTCTTAAAGTGCACTCTCTGGTTGCAAGCCTTGTGCTTACCACTTCTGGGAGTTAGCTCCAAGTTCTATAGTTCTATCGGTTGAATTCAGGACACCCTAAGTCAAAATACTTGGTCTTTGCCGTTGCCAATGGGCCAGGATTGGCAATGTTGGACCAGAAACCTGACTTTTAATGCTAGGCCGCTGCCACAGGGCCTGCGCACAGCGTGCAACGGCTTGTGGACCACTCATGAATCAAGCTGCCTAAACGTAAAGGATCGAGCAAATGTCGATCTGTTTGAGCAAAACGAGCGATAGGCAACTAGGCAACTATAGGCCCCATTGAAGGATCTGGGATTGGCACAGAAGTCATACGCCCAGAAAAGGAATCCTGATCCTTATGTAAACACCTGGTATTAAGATGGTCTTAAGCAGGGATTTCCGAATCGATTTGTGGTTGGCACTATCCCTAATCGTCGCTTACATTCCCACTTGGGGGAGAGTCAACTCAATCTTGTCACTCCTTGCCTGCTCCTGCAGAAGTAGTTCTCTCTGCTCTTCCTGCGGCAATCGATCGCTGTGTCGAAAGGCTGTTCTTCCCAAGTGCTTGGCGATCCCTCAAGAACTTGTGTCACCTGTGGAAACAGACACCCACAAGCAAAGCCTGTTTTAGAGACATGATCCCCGCCAGCCGGGCTCCTTGCTGCTTCAAGGACCCTGTAGAGTTTGTAAACAAAACATAGACCAGGTCTTCTTGGAAGGTAGTTGGCTTTACCGGCTCGGCAACCAGTTGCTTTCAATGCCTACCTCAGCACTCTCCCATAGCACGACACGAGCACGCCAATAGATGAGTATGTGCCAACATACAGCGACCCCAATAATAGTTGTGTTCCTTGGGTTTCCGACATGAACCAACCTGGAAAAAGGGTCAACAAACACAAACATAGTGACACTGACACACATATATACATATACTGCTGAATCGTCGGGTCCAGCAATTGTGGGTATCTACCAGCTTGCGGGCCTTTCAAAAGACAGCTCCAAAGACCTGCAAGGCTTTGGTCAGTAAAGGCAGTCCAAGCGAAACAAACCAATCTGCTCCCCGAACTGCTGTGGATCATCCAGAAGCACGGAGCAACCCTTTTTTCCCAGTCCTTTACTGGCCGTTCAAAACGCACAGGCTGACACAGTAGCTCGCACAGTCAATGGAAGTAAGTCTAGGGGTCCCTGGAGCTTCCATGGAAATGGCCTGGGGCATAACATCATTGGATTGTCGGGTATCCGGGTTGTTCAAAATAGGGCCCTCCGCAATCTGTAGGGAACGCTGCACGGAAAACCGCCATCTGGCTTTCAACCAGCTTCAACCCAGGCCCAAGGAGATCCCTGTCAACTGTTCGGGGGCAACCAGACCTCGACTTTGCCCAACTCTAACACCGAAATATGATTTCCGATTCTGGCTACCAGGATAATTACAACCACAAGAACCGTCTAACAGTAAATTTGAATGCCTAGGGGCAATGGTGAATAGTAAATAGTGAGCCTAGCACACAATTCCAAAGCAGAGCCCTGGCCTTTTATGGATTTTTCGCCGGCCCGGGACCCGGGCCGCTTTGGCCAGCTGCTGCCGATGCTTCGCATGGAGCTGCTCGAACTGCTTGGACCTGCGCGGTCCGCCTGGGGCCCTTTGGAGGCTATTTCTCCGGTCAACATCACCCCACCAAAAGCAAGCTCACTGCAGATTGGCCCCAAAGGTCCCAAAGCTGATGTTCAGACCACCAAAAGCAGAAATATCGGGAACCCTGCCCCGGCAATCTTTTCGAGAAGCTTTCCAACAAGCTCTTGTCCCTTTGTGTGTGGTGGTTTTATGAAGAAGGGGGAATTTCCCTTAGATGGATCAGGGGTGTTTTGAAAAGGGACGCATGGAGATCAAGCCGCTGGCACCTGAATGGCTTCAGAAAACCCAAGAAAATGAGAGGATGGAGGTCTAACCGGATTTGGGCATGTGTAAGAGGGCAGCGCAAAACGGTGAAATTAAACTTACACGTGGATCCGCACTCGCACACACCAGCTTGACTTCCATTTAAACCAACCTTGAAAAGGGTAGCCTCAGCAAAAAAACGAACCCAGCTACGTCTCGCCCCCTTTGCGTGCGGGCCAAGTCCCGTGCAAGGCCGCCAAGTCCCGCTGCAGCTCCGTGTCTTTGCTCTCGTCGGCCAGCAGTGCCTTTGCCAAGGATGTCAAGTCTTGGTGCTTTGCAAGAACTGCTGAAGGACCAGGCTCAATACCGTGTTCCCGTTTTAAAGCGAAACCTCACACTTTGCTGTTGAGTGGCAATCTTCCCTGACAGGAAAGTTAGTCTAAGATGAACTCTTTTGCTTTTGGTTGATCAACGCAAAGCCTTCGCGGATGTTGTGCTGGATCTTCTGGTTGATGCGTGACTGCCCCGCGGGTTTGTGCAGACCCAATCCCGGCCACCATTGGGAGAACGCGCCTCAAGCTGCTTGGCAGCGATGCGAAGCTGCTCCTGCGTTCCGGAACAAAAGGAAAGAAACAACCAACCAAACAAACAAAACAAGCTGTGAATCAAACAACCAAGCAAACAGAGAAACAAACAAACAACACAAAACAACAAAACCAAAAAAACAAAAACAAAACAAAAAGAAACAGCAAAACAAAGCAAACAAGCAAACAAACAAACCTCATGAAACAGCAAGCAAGCAAGCAAGCAAGCATGCAAACAAACAAGCAAAACACAACACAATAAACAAGCAAACGCACAAGCACACAAACAAACACACAAACAAACAAACAAACAAGCAAGCAAGCAAGTAAGCAAGCAAGCAAGCCAGCTGGCCAGCCAGTTCGCTAGCCAGCAAGCGAGCAAGCAAACAAACAACACAGGAAAACACGCAAGCCAGCAGGCAATCTATCAAGAATTCATGCAAGCAAGTAAGTAAGCAAGCAACCAAGCAAGCAAACATGCAGGCAAGCACACAACAAACCAAACAAACTAAACAAACCAACAAACACACAAACACACAACAACAAAAACAAGCAAACAACCAAACAAGCAACCAATCAAAAGAATCGACAAAGCAAGCAAGCTATGTAACGAGTTACCTAACTCACTAACTAACCAACTAACTAGCTACCTAGCTAACTAGCTAACTGGCTAGCTACTTGATTTCTCAGATCGAGTGAGCCAGAATGTCGCCCAGCACTGTCAGCGAGATAAATGCCTCTCTTCCTGCTAGACTTCAAATGTCAATCAAGCTACCCACCAAATAATCAAGTTCTTGGGCCCACTCCCGAGAGTAGGCTCGCTTCGGTGCCAAGAAATGCGAGATTCAACCGTGGTTCCCAAAGGAAATGGGAAGCAAAGAATCACCAATGCAAATGGAAAGACCCGCCGTGTTCCGACTGCCCCACGCGAGTCCCCAAAACTCCCACCCGGCCCTGTGCGAGGGCAACCGACTGTAGACTCCCTGCGTGGGTGGTTTTTCTAAACAGGGGAAGCAAGGTTAAGGCGGGTTTGAAGAGCGACAAAGATAGACCTGCCAAACATGGGAAGCAAAGTTTCTGATGGGAACCATAGGCCCACAGCCAACCCGAGGTCTCCTCGAGCATATCTTTCTCAGCCTGCGGCGGCAATTGAATTGAATAGCTAGCAGGTCGAACCTGAGCCACCACCACCGCCACTTCAGCCCGTGGCGGTGCTACCAACATGGCCCGGTAGATCTACTCTAGACCCTAGCTGTCTGTATGTTTGCATGTATTCCTAAACTTCTCTAAACCGGCTTGAGCACATACCGTGAGGCGCTGCCACCAAAAGCTCCAGCGCGCAGACAAGTGGTTGATACTACGGGAGTGGGGTAGGTACCAAGGGGTTTGTATCTTTTTACGGTGCGGGTGGGAAGGTTTGAGTGGAGGGTATGGCTCGCAGGTATGGTATGATTCAGGGTATGTTCCTAGCAGCAGTAGCAATAGTAGTAGAAGTATTAGTAGTAGTAGAAGTAGTAGCAGACGTAACAGCAGAAGTAGAAGTAGAAGCAGAAGTAGTAGGAGTTGTAGAAGAAGTAGAAGTAACAATAGGAGTAGTGGTAGTGCGAGTGGTAGTAGTACTAGAAGCAGCAGTAGTAGTTGAAGTTGTGGAATCTGTAGTAGAAATTATTTTAGTAGTAGTAGCACTAGTAGTAGTAATAGTGGTAGTGGTAGTAGTCGTAGCAGTAGTAGTAGTAGTAGTAGTAGCAGTAGTAGTAGTAGTAGTAGTGGTACCAGTGGTGGTAGCAGCGGTGGTAGTGGTGCAGAAGTTTTGTCATAGTCTAGGCAGTAGCGCTTGGCAAGAAAAACCAATTGTCCTGGAGTGATTCGGGTATGACTCACGGGTATGATTTGGTTTGTGGCAAAACGGAACCTTGATTACGAACTCACATTGATGATTGCAGTCGTAGTACTAGTAGTAGTAGTAGTAGCAGCAGCAGTAGTAGTAGCAGCAGCAGTAGTAACATGGTACAAGTGGCAAGAGACGTCGTACTAGTAGTAGTAGTAGTAGTAGTAGTAGTAGTAGTAGTAGTAGTAGTAGTAGTAGTAGTAGTAGTAGTATTGGCAGTACTACTAGTAGAAGCCGCTGTCGTCGTCTGACAGTAGAAGTAGAAGTCGAAGTAGAAGCAGAAGTAGTAGTTGTGGAAGAAGTAGTAGTAATAGTAGATGTAAAAGTAGAAGTAGAAGTAGTAGTTGTAGTAGTAGTAGTAGTAGTAGTTGTTGTTGTTGTAGTAGTTGCAGTAGACGTAGTAGTGGTAGTTGTAGGAATAGGAGTAGGAGTAGGAGTAGGAGTAGGAGTGGGAGTAGGAGTAGGAGTAGGGGTAGGGGTAGGAGTAGGAGTAGGAGTAGGAGTAGGAGGAGTAGGAGTAGTAGTAGTAGTAGTAGTAGTAGTAGTAGTACTAGTAGTAGTAGTTGTAGTAGTAGTAGTAGTAGTAGGTTTAGTAGTAGTAGTAGCAGCAGTAGTAGCAGTGGTGGTACACGTAGTAGCAGTAGTAGTAGTAGCAGCAGTAGTAGCAGCAATTGGTACTTGGTAGTAGTAGTTTCACTGTGTCTAGCTTAGCTCAGCTCAAATTGCACTCATGATGAGTTTGTTTGGCTTAATTTGGCTTGTGGTGAGGTCTTTTCTATTAATATAGCCTAGTGTCAATCTCCGAGAATCCACCATTCCAGCAAGTGCTTGTTCCACGAGATCGACATATTGCAAAATACTAGCGTTGTTGGAAGAATAAAAAAAAACACGCGCTGCGGACACTGATCTCCCGTATATATATATATATATATATGTTAGTGTTGGTTAAACACACACACACACACTGTCAGTTGAAGCATAGGTAGCAGTGAATGGTAGGCCCTCGGTAAAGATTCTGTCGGACTCTTGGTCCTTTTTGCCAACATCAAGTGGTGGGCTCGCCGTAAAACTAGGCAGATCCGGTGGAATTCAACATTACGCTCAAAGGCTCCACTTGTGCGAGCCAGCATCACCAAACTGCCAACGACCTCACCTCGGGAAACGCACAGCCAGCTCCGCAAATCTCAATTGCTAAAAGAACCTGGGGTTTCATTGAATTCCGTCGTGTCCATGGGTATTTTTGGACAAAGCTCGCAGCTTCTTATCCAAACGACCTTTTTTTTCTTCTGGAGATATGAGCAAACATTCTGCAACCAGGTTGGAGAGGCGGAAGGGACAAATCCGGCAAATGGACGAGTAAACACATGCAGGTGAACTGTAGGTGGTCATGCAATCTATTGCCCCTCACAAGGAGCTCCGGACTTGCGCGGAAGCTGACAAATGAGGGTCTGTCATTCCTTGATACTCATGTCCAAAGTTGTAGTGTTTGTTTCTTGGCACTCGCTTTAACCATTTGTCCGTGCTCTGAAAAGATCTTGAAGACAAGGATGTCCCATCTCATCACTTTTTGCCTGTGCAGGAATTTGAATTCTGAGCCAGCATCAGCTCAGTTGGTTGAACAGTGGCTGTGCGGAAAGCTTTGCTCACTTAAACTCTATGGCAACATCTGTCCTCAGAGTGCCAAAGTCTGTTCGCCGTTGTTCTGCTCCGAAGATCACAGAAAGTGTCCGGCTGTGGCTTGGACTGCTCCCCTTGGCCCACATCCGCCTTTGAGCCCCGCCTGAAGGCTCTGCAAGGCCTCAGCTTTACCTTTGAGCTTGGCCTGCGCTCGGCGCGGCGGGCGGCCAGTTTTCAGCCGAACCGAAAGGTGTGCGAGATCCAAAGGACAAAACCCTCCGCGGACTATGTCGCAGACCCAAAAAGACTCCCAGGGAAAGAGCAGCGGGTCAGCTCTTATCTGCGTTGATGAACCGCTTCTGCCGTTTAGAAAACTTCAGCAAGTCCAGGCCGAGGCTCCTTTTGACACCTTGAAAAGGGCTCCAAGTTGGGCCCGTTCGCCAAACACGTGCCAGTCACCACAGTTTGAAAAAGACCGTTTTAGTGGTGGCAGTGGCAGATCCAATTTTTCATCCACTAGTGGCCGGGGCAAGAACAAAACTCTAACTTTGGCTTCTAGACTTCTAAGCGTTCAGTTTATTTTGGAAACACAGGCCACAAGGCAATCTCAGTCCAATGTATCCACCCCATTTGGCGTCCATGTCAAACCCCGATCTGCGCTGGCCTCGGGACAAGCCGCTAGCCTTTAATCCCTTCCAACTTCATCAAAAGGAGGGGTGGCATCTATGACCTCGCATCTAAACTTCAACTAATCCCTTCTTCATGATAACAACGTCCGCCTCATAATAATAAACAATGGATTTTCCAGACTCCAAACAAAATCCAGGTCCGGGAATACTGAATTTAGAATAGGCCCAACTCTAAATCAGTACTCAACTAGCGGTTTTCCCTCGTACCCTCAACTCGATCCGAATTTGGGGTCCCCCCAATCCTTTCCCCTTTCAAAAGCCCAAAGCAACAGAACCCGTGCCTGAAACATGCACCTACCAACCTGCCTGCATAATTACATAGTCAATCGACCCAGGGAAAACGTAACAAAAAAGAGAGGTCTGAACCATTTCATGTTAAATCCCCTGCTTTCAAAATAGCATTCTGTGAGCATTTTTGACCCGGGGAAGGAAAGTGTACTTTGTGCCACAACTCAAACTCCTTCCTGCCGCGAAAACCCAAAAATACAAAAAAGTGCATTGAATGGGGAAACATCTTTTTGGGGGGATGCGAGCCTTAAAAAAGGCTGTCCTGGGCCTCTTTGCCGGTGGACCTTTATGTTAAACTCTATATACAGGCCGCCTGCCGTCCTGAGATTTCTTCTCCAACATGATTTGGGTCTTTCTGTTCTTAGGAAACCCGTTCTGCGCTGGCTTTAGAGGAAAACCAAAAGGAAACCTAAAGGAAACCAAAACGTTGGGGAGTTCCCTAATCTTGCGACAACCCCATTCAAAGACTTCTGCGGTCTTCAAAAGGTTCCCTAAAACGCTTCAAAGGTGGGATTTGGAGTAGGGTTGAGTCTGTGTGGCGTCAACACAGCCGGGGCTCATGGCTAAACCACCCGGTCCAAGGCGGGGCCTTCACGGGCCCCCGCAATGCAAAACCCTTGTGGCAACTTGCCAAAGTGACGCATTTGCAAATTTGAAGGGACACGGTGTCCAACACCAATGAGCGGCCCATCAAATTTTGTCCAAGTCCAAAGTTACCAGTCCCAATGCAAACTTAATTTCACCTGTTGAGTTGACTGGCTAGAAAAAGTTTAAACTATTTGCCCGAGACCAACATGGCGAAGCTTGGAAACTGAACAGGCAAGTGTCTCCGATCACACAATGGGAAAGGATTCAGAAACCGTTCAACCCTGGTTGATTCATAAGGGGGGCCGTTGGGGCAACCCACCCCGATGGCCCGCGCTCGTTTTCGGTCTCGCCTCGAGCCCCCGGACCTTGCGCTCAGCAGTGCCCAGCTTGCCCCTGAGATGCTCCTCCCGGGATGTTCGTCGCGAGATGCGCGTGAGAGGGGAAGGCAAAACCCTAGGGTGCAACCCTCATGAAAATCATGGATCGACCCAATCCAGGTGATAGAACTCCTCAGGTAAACAGTGGGCCTTCGTTTCTGCGGGAAAGCTGTGTGGGCCTCCCCTTCTCTTCGTGCTCAAATCAAGCATGGACCACCACTGATGTTGTCAGTGGCACTGCATGTGATTCTGGATTGCAGGGGGGCCAATCGAATGTAGGCAATCCATGATTGGACGGGGGTCAATCCAGAATCACATCGATAGCGTGGTTCAATCCAGATTACAGGCAGGTGAGCCACGCTATCGACGATCGCTTTTTAATCCGTCTCCCTTACACGCCCTGTTCAGCTGGGGAGGGTGCTTGAGAAAACTCAACTTGTGAGGCCAGGGGAAGAGCAGCGCACTCGTGTAATTACTTGCCCTATACTATTCGGCTTCGTCCTGGGTTCGATGACAACGTTTGCTGCCTGTGCTGCGGAAATTGAAGCTCAAAGGAGCAAACATGTGATTCCATGATCATGTTGCTGGAGCCCCAATCGCCCTCTCAGCACTGTGCATGGAAAAAATCCAGGTCGCACGAGTTGGGATGGATGAGATCCTATGGCAAATGCGGACTTC